AGGCTTTGTTTTCCATTTATAAAGCATAGCCAGAGTATATTTTTCATAACTGAAATGGTCAATGAGCACTGGCTTCAACTTAAAGTCACTAGCTACATTAGCCCCTAATAAGAGAGTCAGCCTAGCCCTTGAAACTTTAAAGCCAGGCATTGACTTCTCCTCTCTAGTTATGAAAGACCTAGATGGCATCTTCTTCCAACAAAAGGCTGTTTTGTCTACATTAAAAATCTGTTGTTTAGTGTAGCCCCTTCATCAATTCTCTTAGCTAGATCTTTTGGATCACTTGCTGCAGCTTCTACATCAGCACTTTCTGCTTCACCCTGTACTTTTATGTTACGGAGACAGCTACTTTCCTTAAATCTCATGAACCAACCTCTGCTAGCTTTAAACTTTTCTTCTGCAGATTCCTCACTTCTCAGCCTTCACAGAACTGAAGAGAGGTAAGGCCTTGCTCTGGATTAGACTTTGTCTTAAGGCAATGTTGAGGTTGGTTTGCTCTTCTATCCAGACCACTAAAACTTTCTTCCCATGGCTGTAAGCCTGTTTTGCCTTCTTATTATTGATGTGTTCACGGAGTGGCACTTTTAATTTCCTTCAAAAACTTTCCCTGGGCATTCACAACTTGGTTAACTGTCTGGAGCAAGAGGCCTAACTGTTGGCCTGTCTTGGCTTTTGACATGCCTTCCTCACAAAATGTAAACACTTCTAGCTTTTGATTTAAAGTGAGAGATGTGTGACTCTTAACTTAAGTCGAATTTGTTTTCCACTCCAAGAGTACAACTAAATTAAGTTGAAGCATCTAAAAATGAACAAATCATAAAATAGATCATGTGTTTTGTATAAAAAGCAAAATACTGGATTGAAGCGTGTTAAGCAATCTAATAGATTTTTTTATCCTGAGCCTAAAACAAAAAGGTAGTTCTAGAACAAAATTTTTTTCCACAATAAAAATAGTGCTGTAAGGCTAAAACTTTAATGTTCTAAATAGAATCCTGTCAACATCTCTTCATAATATTAATAAAGTTCAAAGGCCATGGTTGACCAAAAAATTTTGACAAGGCAAACTTGTACAATTAAAGTAAATACAGTTCACATGATTTGATCTCCCAAAGCCTGGAATTTTGACCTTGACTGAAGTCTTCCCAATTCTAATGCTTTAAATAACTACTTTTGCTGAACAAAATATTAAACTATTAATTCTCGCAGTGTATATGTCCCATGCAAATATTTACTATGGCCTTACTTATTCAACACATCTTTATTGTGCTTACTGGGCTAAGGCCCATACTAGGCAAGAAGATATAAAGGTGACCATGACCAACACAGGGCTTCTCCTTAAAAGAGCAAGACAAGCAGAGAAGACAAACCATGAACAAATAATTACAAAAAATTCATTATATGACAGTATAAATAAGCAGGGAAATTTTAACAAATCTGTGGAGTCAGGGAAGGCCTTCTAGAGAAGTTTAGAGTCCTTAAAACAAAAACCTTCAAGGCTATGGTAATAGAACTGTATTTCTGTAAGTTATTTCTGTTCACTCCTACCAATTAAATTATTCTTAAAACATGTATAGGTTAATTTATATGACAGACTTTTGCTCAGTATAACATGATGCTTTAAAGATGCCTTATAAATCAAAATTTCTTAGCTATAGTTTTAAATATCAAAATGAATCATTTCTATCACTTCAGGAAAATAAAAATAATAAACAAAGCAGAAGCATAGGTTTAAAATAGTATTTCTGGGTTGGTCATGGTAGCTCATGCCTGTAATCCTAGCACTCTGGGAGGCCAAGGTGGGAGGATTGCTTGAGCTCAGGAGTTTGAGACCAGCCTGAGCAAAAGCAAAACCCCGTCTCTACTAAAAATAGAAAAATTAGCTGGGCGTGGTGGCGCATGCCCTGTAGTCCCAGCTACTGAGGAGGCTGAGGCAGGAGGATCACTTGGGCCCAGGAGTTTGAGGATGCTGTGAGCTACGATGACACCACTGCACTCAACCCAGGGAAACAGAGCAAGATTCTAACTCAAAAAATAACAATATTTCTGAAAAACGGCCAACTGACCTTAAGAGTCTCTTTCAACCTCTTCCTCCACTAACCACACTAAAAACACAGTGAAGGAACATAAAAGGTATAAATACACAAGGACTAAAAAAAAGAAAAGGAGAGGAGACTAAAACACTCAAGAGAATTTGTCAAATTGTTATAAAATTGAAGAGATGGAGGAGTGGTCATTGATTTAAGGGAGCAGAGGCACTTCCTGGGTGCTGTGGAGAAGACAGCCAAATGAAGGAAGTTATTTGCTGTAAGGACAAGGCCTGGGGAACACAAGGAGCTGTGGAGGCAGAGTAAGTGATAAGGCTGAAAACAGAGGATTAGATAATTTGTAAGTGCATCTTTAGATACTCATCCAACACACACGTTCTTCCATATATGTGCACACGTGCCTATATCCAGATTACTGCCCTTTCCACTTTTCCTATTCTTTGGAGAAACTCAGTAGTACCAGGGAAAAAGAGCTATAAGATGCTGACATTTGGATGCTACTCTAATAAGTCCATATCAACAAATGAAAAGCCATGTTGATATACAAAGACCTTCTAAGGTGATTCTGAAATGATAGATAGGCAACAACCACACATATGTGAGGAAAACCTCCAAAATGAAGGTAAAAGCTTATAAATTAAAAAAGAATCTGGAAAAGACAAAGCAATGCACAGGGCAGAAGACAAAGCAAAACTACAATTTATATCCTTATAACAAAAAGAGAAAATATAGCAGCCATGAAACAAAATAGAATGCATGTAACACGAGAACATAAGAGAACACAAAATAGTTCTTTGAATTAAAAAAATTAATAGACAAAAAGATTTTTAAAACCATAATATAAGAAAGATTAGAATTAGACTGGGATCTGTCCAGAGTTTTAACATGATATTAACAGTAGTTCCACAGAAAGGTAATAGAAAAAGGGAGAAGAGAAAATGTCAAAGAAATAATACAAGAAAATTTCACAGAACTTTTAGATATGAATGTCCACACTGAAATGGCCCCTTAGTACCCAGCACAATCAATTAAAAAATGCCCACATCAAAGCAATTACCATAAAAATTTCACACGCCGGGAATAAAGAGATCATAAATTTTTCAGAAAGAGAAAAAAGGTCACATACAAAAGGCATGATAATCAGAACGTAGTACTAGAGACTTGGGAAGGGCAAGACATGAGACTTTAGTATTAGACATCTAAAACAATGCACAGGAATTTTCATAAACACTAAGCAAAATAATGTAAGTAAATAAAAATAGACAAGTAAATAAATGAATAAAATATAAAGTAAAATCGATATATTGAATGTTTACTACACGCCAGGGCTATCATTCTGTTTTAAATATACTGTAGTAACTCATTTAACTTTCATAACACCCTATCAGACTATTAGCCTCATTTTACAGATGAGGAAACAGGCATTGATAGGTTAAGTACTTTGCCCATAATGATACAACTAGCAGGTGGTAGAGCCAGAGTTCTAGCTTTCTGAGTGTAGTCTTTTAAAAACTGCATAATATTGTCTTTCAACTTTAAAAGTAACATTTACTTTAAAAAAAAAAAAAAGAAAGAAAGAAAGAAAAGAAAATACTATTTGAATGTTCCCTACCTTACTAATCAGTTCCCAGATCAACTGTGGTTGATTCAAAGTTCTGACTTGGTTCATAAGGGTATAGTGTAATCCCAAGACATAAAAGTGTATGTGTATGGGAGTGGGGGGATAGGGGGGGGGGGGGGATGAAGATGGAAGGCATTTCCTAGTATTTTAAATATTCATTGAATAAAAGTACTTTATGTTGTGTGCTTGTGATTTGCTGCTATATAGTCCATAAAATAGCGTCCCTAAACTAAAGGCATTGACAACCTCCACCAAAAGAACTGATGCACTCACATCAGATGACAACTGTGTATTTAGGCAAAGAATGAAGGCTATGTAAATGTCACTGAAGTTAAAAACAGCATAGCTGTCTCTTTTCTAAATTATTTTCATCTAAGCCTTTCACACTCTTCCAATTTTCCAAAAGAAGAGTTCCCTAGACAATTTTCCTAGTCATTTATGACTATTAAGTAGACCGATGTGACAAAAACATGCTCCTTTATTTACCCTTGCCTTACATTTACCCATACCTTATATTAACTACATAATGACACTTGTTCATTTTCACGTCATGTTCCTCTGTAGGGGTTAGCTTCATTGAGTCTCCTACTTTTGCTGTCCTTTCCATCTTCTGTTTTATTGTATCTACTTAAGGGATTCTGGCTTTAGTGGTGGGGTGGGAAGAGAAATATGTATACTCTTTTTGAATAAATGTTTTTTTCTTTTCCAGTCTAATAAAATCCCCATTCCTTTTGACCTACAAGGAGGCTACACAGATTTAGCATTTATTAGCCCTTGGGGCTAATAAATTTCCATACGCTAATGTAGTGGCTTTGAGACCTCAGACCACTGCTTCAAAACTCATCCTATAGCACTGGACCTCCTGGGTCATTTGCTGCTGCACTGCCCAGTCTGGAGGTTCCCTTTTCCCACACATGCAGCCGCCCACTTTCTGCCAGTCATGACCTTCATTTGTGTTTTGTTTTTTTTTTTTTAAAGGGGGAAGTATTGGTTTGTGATTTGGGTTGATAGTAGCCATAGCAACCTTTAAAGTCCTGCCGTTTCAATGACAGCATCACCTATGTCTTCCCAACACATGGGTGAAAGGAGGACCCCAGGTCGTCCGGCCTAAGCGGTCTCAGTGTCGCTCACAGGAGGTTCCCCACCCGCGGCCTCAGGGCTCACAGTGTCTCCACAACCTCCAGTGTCCAGTGTCACGGCGGCCCACACTCTCCGGCGCACCCTGCGCGGTTGTCACAGCAGCCCTCCCCGGCGCAGGTGGAGCACCTGGCCGCCCAACCCGGGGGCGTCACCTGCGGGCGGGCCCCGGCGCGCGCACGCGCTCACGCACTTACGGTCTCCTTGGCAGCCGCGACCGGGATGGGCAACAGCCCCCGGCCGCGGGGTGGGTCCTCGGGCTCCGCGGCCGCGCTCTCTGAGGGCCGTCCGGGCTCGGGTGGGTCGGACCTGGGCTCCCCGTACAGCCGGTAGCACACGAGGCCGACGAGACCCCCGCCGGCCGCCGCCGCGATGCTCAGCTCGCCCCAGCGCCGCCGCCGCCTCCAAGCCGCCTCGGCCACAGCTCGCTCCTCATCCTCCCGGCAGGGGAAGGGCCGCCCGGGAAGGCCCGGGGCTGTCCCCGCAGGCCGCCCCCACGGCCCTGGGAAGGGCTGGTGAGCCGACAGCGGAGGCGGCAGCCGAGGCGGCGGCCACAGGAGCCTCCGCAGTGCAGCCATAGCGGGAGCCGCCCGCACCGGAGCTGGGAGGGGGCGGGAGGGGGGCGGAGGGGGAGCCGAAACCTCGCGAGAAGTCGGTGCGGAGCGGTTCTCCGCTGTCCGAGAGCGACCCCTGCGAGCGCAGGGCCTGGGGTCTCCCCGGAGCGGCCTGCAGCTGAGGGTCCCGGGGGAGCCCGGAGGACGCGGCGGAGCCCGGCTGCTCTTCAGCCCCGCAACCACGCAGTCATAAATAACCGCGCCGGCACCTGGCTGCGCGAGGACCCAACCCCGCCGGGTGCAGCGGGGTCAGCGGAACACGGCGGAATCCCGGGTGACCGGGTGTCCGGGCGCCCGTCCGCCAGCTGAGCCTCTCGCCTCTGCTTGTCGCGTGGGTCTCGGAGCACTGGTCAGCGCCCTCTAAGAAGGACACAGTCTCCTAACGGTATCCAGATCTTCTGACTCAGGGTCGGGAATACTTTTAATTTATAATAGTTTGGAGGCCACAATTTCCTATAAAATAATGGAGTTGGATAGGTGATCATCTTCTGAACCCATGATTCTAATCAACCAAAATGCTCCAAGCATATCAGTAAATCCTATATAGAAACTTCATAGCTTTTTTTCACCTGTCTTTTCTTTTCTCAAAATCTACAATTGGCCTGTGATTGCATTCTTCCTTCTACTTAAAATTCTATCCCCTGACCTAATTATTTTAAACTTTCACCATTTTTTTTAAATCGCTACATCTGAGTGAATTTTCAGTCTTGAAAATGTAAAATACAATAGCCAGAAATGTCTTGTTTAACAAAACTTCTGTTAAAATATGTTGCTCACCTTAATTTTCTCACTCTGAGGTTCAGACGCTTGAGTAGTTGAAAGAGGAGCAGTTACATCTGAGATCCTATATCAGGGCACGTGAATCACACCCTCACCCCCAGGTCCACTCAGTTCTGACTGAGGGACTCTACCAGCCAAAGAGCAAGGCTGCAGCAATCTTTTCCTCTCTTGCGAAAGTTGTCATACACATTGTCCCCCTCCTTTGGTGCTATCTTCTTTAGGGGACAAATAGCAAAATCACAGGAGAAAGTGCTGGGGAAGTTGTGTTCTGTGGGGTTGCAGTCCTTTCTTGTTCTTTTGTCTTTAGAGTGCTAGCCACAACAGGAGTCTGGAACTCAGTTCTCCAGAATCCAGTTCCAGGGCTATGGAAACCAAGTTCCCCAAGGTATTTGGGGGTCTGTTTTCTGTTTTTGACTAGCTCCCACTCCCAAAGACAGTTTACACACCACTGCTTTTCCTTTAGCCAAAGTTAAAGCTATATCTAAGCAACATGAAGCCAGGACATGTATCTCCTGGCACATAGTAGAACCTCAATAATATTTATTAAATGAAGGGAATTTACTAGTCTTTTGAAGGGGGTAGGCAGAGAGGCCAAGATGGGAAAGCAAAACAGGAGACAAGGAAATACAGTGGCTCATTACAGGAGCTGATGGGGTGGGGAACCAGCATCCTTGGGGCCACATGTGGTCTTCTGGATCCTTGAGTGCAGCCTTTTGACTGAATCCAAATTTTACAGAACAAATTCTTGAAATAAAGGGATTTGTCCTGTGAAGTTTGGATTTGGTCAACGAGTCACACTTAGGGATCTAGAGGGCCACATGTGGCCTCGAGGCTGCAGGTTCCCCAACCCTCTAAAGCAACAGGTTTCCACCAGAGAGCTCTGTTCTTTAGGTTCTTGAAGGAAATTCCAGCATAATGGGCAAAGATCAGTGACTTGACTGGCCCCACCTCCCTTTTTGTTCTTACATATCTCACTTGTGACAATAACCAAGCTGTCAGTTGTACACATTTAACTGTCTAACTTTAAGACTAGTAACACTCTCACTTTGACCATTACATCTATCCAGTCTGTTTTATATAATTTCCAGGGTCTTTGCTGATAGTTGCTCTCTGTTCAATTTCTGTTGTTTAGGTCCCCAAACTCCTCTCTCTTTGTCCTCCATTTGGTGGCAGGGACTTCTTATGTATTTGGGAAACAAGGAATAGCAGCTCAGCCTTGCTACCAGCAAAGCTTCCCTCCTGAAAACAAGTAAGCTCTTTCTCAATCATCATGTCCTGTTTTCATGTCTGATCATGATTAAAGCTTCCAGGCTCATCAAAGGATGTTTTCTGGTGAAAAATAGCCTCAGAGCAATATAATGACCAGCAATTACACAAGTATGACACTAGGGTAGCAAAATAAATAATATAATCCTTCCAAAACTTTTGGCAGTAGCTACTAGAGCTGAACACATACATAGCCTGTGTCCCATCAGTTTCACTTTTAGGTGAAATACTCAACAGAAATGAGTGCTTACATCCACCAAAAGGGGATATACAGAGGGATATTCATAATGCACCGTTTATAATGGACAACAAATTAAAAACTATTCCTATATTCATCAACCATGGCCTGGACAAAAAAATTGAATTTTATAAAGCAATCAATGAAAATTACTGAACTGCCACTACATGCAATCATATGGATAAATTTAATAGTAAAAATTGAGTCAGGCCGGGCGCGGTGGCTCACGCCTGTAATCCTAGCTCTTGGGAGGCCGAGGCGGGCGGATTGCTCAAGGTCAGGAGTTCAAAACCAGCCTGAACAAGAGCGAGACCCCATCTCTACTATAAATAGAAAGAAATTAATTGGCCAACTGATATATATATAAAAAATTAGCCGGGCATGGTGGCGCATGCCTGTAGTCCCAGCTACTCGGGAGGCTGAGGCAGTCGATGGCTGAGCCCCGGAGATTGAGGTTGCTGTGAGCTAGGCTGACACCACAGCACTCACTCTAGCCTGGACAACAAAGCGAGACTCTGTCTCAAAAAAAAAAAAAAAAAAAAATTGAGTCAAAGAAGGCAGACGTAGAAGAACAACAAAATATAGATATACATAATGTTAGACATCAGGACAGCAGTTTCCTTAGGAAGACAGTAGTGAGTGGAATGGGGCAAAGGGGACTTCTAGGGTTCTGTGTCTTGATCTGGGTGTCGATGACACAAGTTATAAACTCTGTAAAAATTTATAGAGCTGTCCACTTGCAACTTGTATACCCTTTTTGTGTATGTTACACTTCAATTAAAAGTTTATATAAAATTAAAAAACAGATTTTCTTCCTAATGTTCTTATACTAATGTGTTATTTGCTAGAGGACTTTGCTCAGTCATGAACTATACAACTTAGAAGGAATGTATAAAGCTTGAAAAGGGTTCAGCTAAAAGCACTAAAACTAATTGAAGACTTGGAAACTAAAGGAAAAGTTATATAATCATGATGTAGCCTAAGGAGAGTTAACCAAGGAGTATCTTAAAAAATGTCTTTTACATTGTAAAGACTCCTAAGAAGATACTCATTCGTGATTTTCCTTATTTACTGAGGAAAAACCAAAAGAACTTGGTATTGTAAACAAATCACCTAGTGTTTTATCTTCTTTGACTTGTAGCATTTTCTCCTGTAAAATGTCCATATGGACATTCCCAGTAGGTATCTGGTTGAAAGGCCTAGTGCAACCAGTACATACCCTTGTCTCTGGCTCTAACCCCACACTGTCAGATGTTGGATGGGGAAATTGCTTTAAGGGCAGAGAACCAAACAGAAGGGCAGTCTTCAGAACAGATGGAAAGCTCAGCATAAAGAGGGAACCATTAGAGACATCGAGAATAGCATAAGGTAAGTCAGTGCACATACATGCAGAAGCTTAGTGGGATGGCAAACCAGTTTCATCCCTTGCCAACCTCGATTGATTGGTGTTAGTTACCCAGAACACTGTGCTAAGCATAATTCTCAGGCCCAGAATTCACAGCAAAAAGTAGATGAATATCACTGCTAATAAGAGAGGGCTGTGAGATTGGGGCTGAGTTGAGTTGTGGGACCACTCTGGTTTCTTTGAAACTCGCCAATAAGAGAAGATGGTACAGGCTGGGTGCGGTGGCTCACACCTGTAATCCTAGCACTGTGGGAGGTCGAGGCACAAGGATCGTTTGAGCTCAGGAGTTCAAGACCAGCCTGAGCATGAGCGAGACCCCCATCTCTACTAAAAAAATAGAAAGAAATTAGCTGGACAACTAAAAAAATATATATATAAAATTAGCCAGGCATGGTGGCACATGCCTGTAGTCCCAGCTACTCAGGAGGCTTAAGCAGGAGGATTGCTTGAACCCAGGAGTTTGAGGTTGCTCTGAGCTAGGCTGACACCACGTTACTCTAGCCTGGGCAACAGGGTGAGACTCTATCTCAAAAAAACAAAAGAGAGAAGATGGAGCAAAAGTGGCAGGAAAAGAAAAACTGAAAAAAAAGTTTAAATATTTCTGTAGGAAGCATGTGAATATTTTGTATTTACCCTGTAAAGTTATAGAAGATGGAAAAGAATTTAGAGATAGCTTAGTCTGGAAAATTTTTAACCTTTCTAAGTTTTTTAGGGGGAGATCGAAAGGAACCTGCTTAAAGGATAATGTTTGTCAAAAGAAATCATATATAAAGCCCAAAAATACAAAGTAGATAAATGCAGAGTGTCTCTAGTTGAAAAGGGGAGGGAATCTGGACCCTGTCTGTTTAAAGCCTCCTTTTTAACTCCCATGGTGGGGCTGAAGCCCCTCTGTAGAACCTTGGGGCTTAACAACCACTAAAATATACGCTCCTTTAAATTTTACTGATGAGGAAGCTGAGAGGCTGTCAGGTTAAAGAATTTTTCTCTGAGTTACACAACCAGGACTTGAGCCTATATGCTACTTACTCTATGTTTAGATAGTTTCTGTATTGGAATCGTCAGAAACTGAGAGAATTTAGAACAGTTTTTCTTACGGCACATTAATTTGCAGGGAAGAGGATAGTTAATTGCATTAGCTCAAGTAAAAGACATATTTTAAAGATTAAATCGATAGAGTCAAGAGAAAAGTGGTACGATGAGGTCTCAGGAAGTGTGGTAACCAAGTCAGCGCTAGGGACATGTAGTAAAAGCTCAAGGACATTCATTCTAACACACTGCTGTGAGCATGACTTGGCCACTGATTGTATCAGTCTCTGCAAATCTTAGTTCAAATTCTAAAGAGAAAGCATTAGCTTGGTTTGACCTACAGATGTTTTCTACCTTTGTTAGTTTTTCACTCTCAGGCCAATCAGCTGTGTCTGTGGAGAAAGGTGTGGAGTCACATGGAGATGCAGTTTGTGGGAAATACAGAGAACAGCTTCCCTTAGAAGCCCTCGTGGGCAGGTATCAGGTGAGCTGGTAAAGGATTAACAACTGGTTCTGGGGTGGAAGAGTTGTAGAATCCTGATGTAGAGCATTTGCAGATTTCCATGGTGTACTCCCACCGTGGTGATTTCAAGCTACCAATGTGACATTACTGATTGCAAAGTTGGGAAACAATGCATGGTGGCATATCAAAAATATGCATGGTGGCATATCATCATATAGAATTTCCACTATCCACATACAAAAGACACAATAGACAATAGTAAAATAGCTGGGAAGTGATAAGTTTTTAGCACTTATTTCCTCTTATATTCATATTTACCTAATAAATGTAAATTATAGATCTAATTGTAAGTTTTTATAATTTATTTTTTAATAATGTCTCTATTTAATAACTGGATCAAAAATTCCTGCAAATGTAACAGTCAGCTGTATTTTTAATAATGTCTCTATTTAATAACTGGATCAAAAATTCATGCAAATGTAACAGTGAGTTAGTGCAAGCTGGTTCCAGTCCACCACTAGAAGGCATTAAAGATTACCATCTCCATTAGAGAGTTTGGGAGCTCTTGAAGACCAGTGTTTGGCATAAGGGCAGGATAGGTAGGACATAGACTAAGCCCAAAAAGATCAGGATTAAGAATTTGCCTTTAGCCATAAAGGGCAAAATGAATTTACCCATCTTTTAATCAAGAGGATGGTAGCAACCTTTCTTACCCTTCCAAGGTTTTTAGTTGGTTTCAATCAACCTATATACAGATATTACTGTGAAATTATTTTTGCTCTTTCCAATTAATTATATTTGTCGTTCCAAAGACTTGAAATTAAAGAATCATCTCAGGTCTGTAGATACTGGAAAGGTACAACTGACTACCTAGAACAGGTAGAGACTATTCTTGAGCTGAATTTGCAGGGGTCCAGTTAAAATGCTGTGCATTTAACAGCTGATACCCAATAAGGACCAACTCTCATTTGATATTGCCAGATAATTAGGTCTGGCTTCATGCTAATGTTAGTTTTTAGGTTTGACCAAAATATATTATTTCAAATGTATAATAAAATTATGTAATATATCTAACCAATACTTAAATTTATTATACTTATAATATAATATAAATAATATATTTATTATTATAAAATTTATAGTTTGTCGACATGAAGGTATTCATTCTTAAGCCAAAGTAATAATTGAATGTTTAGACCACTATGCAACATCTTTTTCTGTTAAAATAAATTAGTTTGCCTCAAACACTAGGGGTTGATCAAAAAACAAAGTCTGAAAATATGGGTGTTCATAAATTCCTTGGCAGCTGAAGCATATCAAAACTCTTACACTTCAAAAATGATTGCAGTTTTTTTTTTTTTTTTCAGGGTAGTCTCAAATCTTATGTTCAGGAACCTGTAAACCTCAGACCACCACATCAAGGGAAATGAAGTGAACCTTTCACTTGATGATAAGACTTTATAGAAAACCACTAGATGAGCTACTCTAATATCATCATGCAGGTGCATGGGTCTCCTTAAACAAATTATTCTGGAGTAAGAAAGCCTATTCCTCCATCCTTCCAGTGTTATAGAAGGAAACCATGTTTGATTAAGATTTTATTGTGTGTAGAATTTATTTGAGGGCATATGCTTTGATGAAAATGTATGCAATAGAGACATATGCTCTATAGTATCTAGAATTAATCATTGAACTCTTGAGTATGGCAAAATATAAGTATTACACTGACTTACTAAACACCTATGTGCCTTGAAGGGTTTGTCCCTAATGTGAATTATAAATATAGGGGGGGAACACCAAACAATAATGAAACCAATATGCAAAACTTGAGGTTATTGTCCAAACCAGGTGCTTTCTCAAACTGAAAATGAACTAAATGAAGAAGAGCTAAAAGTTGTACTAACAGAACAATTCATCATGTTAAGTCATGAAAAGTAGAGACATATGAGAAATGAATTTCAGAACATGGTAGGAACACTCCTTTGTTCTTATTTCCAGTCTGTATATCAAAACTAAATTTTCTTCCAATCATTCTTTGACAATTATGAAGGACTGACATGGCATCGAATCATCCAATTAGAAGAGGTGACCAGACAGATATTGATGTGAAACTATCACATCTCTGGAAGGGAAGTCTTAAAGGTGGTAACTGACCACTATATGGATTTGTATTGACTTTGAAAGTTTACATATTCTGTAAGTGGATTATGTTAGAGTCAAAAATTATAAATTATATAGCATTTATATAATGAGTGGGAACTTGCAGATAAATCTACAGATATAAGTGTTATGTTCCAGAGAACTTCACAAGTTGGAAGCTCATGTATACATAGATATTTTATCTACCTATTTGTTTTGATAAAATGTCAATATATGAATTCCATAATTAGACCCTTCCTATCTTCTTCAAATCTCTGATTATAAGGGAAGGAGAATTTAAGTAATTTGAAGACTATGCTTGTGAAAATTAGTCCACAAAGCAAAGTGGCTGAATTTTATTTCCCTATTAGATTTTATTTTTATTTTTTTTTATTTTTTTTAAATTTTAGCGTATTATGGGGGTACAAGTGTTAAGGTTACGTATATTCCATGCGCCCCCTCCCCCCTTGAGTCAGAGCCTCAAGTGTGACCATCCCCCAAACGTTACACATCTCACTCATTGTGTTTGTATTGTGTAGACAGTCACAAAACATTAGCCTGATTGGAACCATAGAGATAATCTAGTCTAAGCCAATACAAGATTGCCCTGAAAATAGATTTCTATTGTAATGGCACATTAGAAGTATTTATAATTTATTATGTTGGTAACTTTGAGGAAATAATAGTCAATCTGAGTTTACTGAAGACAGTCATAAAAGGCTGCCATCTGAATCTTTCATCTCTTATTTTTAAAAATCCACATAGAGGTTATTTGCTGTTGTGATTGTACCTTTTTGTTGTAGGTCCAGTAAATGCAGTTTTATGGGTGATTCAGTTCTCCCTGAAGAGCTTCTCTTTTTATTTGTTTTGTATGACAGCAAACTGCTCTGAATCCAGCTCCTGGCCATTTCATTTGCTTGACTCAGCTCCTTGTCATTGAACTCATCTCACAAGTTCATTGCCAGCCAGAAACTTATAGCCTCGTTTGCAGGAATAGCTTGAGTCAACTATTTCCAGCGTCAACACTTTCACGGTGTCCTGACAGCTGCACAGTATCTGCTGAGCAGCACATTGTTCCTCATCGAGATTATTGACATTTTCACAATTTTTCCCGTGATTTTTACCTTCACCAATGATCTATTCTTTACCATCGTGCTGTTTTTCTTTTTTTCATTTTTGGAAGTGAGGCTTGCTTGAGGAATTTACCAACAGTGCTACTAGAAGCTGGAGAAGTGAAACTTGGCAGGGATTGTCCTGTGTATCAAAGTCCCTCTTGGCCTTATCAAGGGTCTGGCAGGGTGTGTGACCACATCGTCCTCTAGTGGCTGACCCCATGAGAGGCCGGTGGCCATTCTTGCACTGCGGCAGACTGTCCTTTCTCTCAGTGCATGACTTTATGCCCAGGGGTTATTATTTTTTAAGATAAACGATATTTTTCTTAGTATACACTTGTTTTCTAATAGTCAAATTTTACAACTTTGAATATCCATTCTATGACTTAGAACCATTCTTAGTTGGGGGAAATACTAAAATGAATTCAAGAAATCAAGGCAAATACTTCAGATTTCCGAAAAAGTCTTAAGGAGCATATGTAGCATTCAACAGATATTTAGCAGGCATGTAAAGTATGCCAGGCACTGTTGTAGGTGCTCGATACACATTATTGATCAAAGTAGACAAAGATCTCTGCCCGCATGGAGCTTACATTCTAGTATGAGGACTAACCTAATGAATATGTGTTTCTCCATAGGCTATCATTCAAACCAGGCTCCTTGTAAATGTGAAATATTTTAATAACCATGCTGTTATGAACTGTATTCTTAACATTCAGTAATGTACTTGGTTTTGTCTTATCTTCTCTAACCTGTCTTCAGGAGGTGACTAGCAACATGTCACTTATCCAGCTGGTATTAGCCCCAACCATACCTCGCCATGCAGATATATTGCTCAGCCCCTGTGCTAATGTTGCTTACTCCAGAGCGACCCTGATAGGAAAGCTATTTACGTCTTCCTAAATTGTGCGCCAAAATTTAAGAAATGCTCTTTTAGCCCGCCCTACAGTCCTCTTCTCCCAATTCTCCTCTCTGCAGGGATGAAGGCTTATTCCTACTCTTCCACCTCTGATTTGGATGAACGCCTACTGAGCGGTTTTTACCTGGGGCTAGACTCCAGTTCCATGTAAACAAGACTAGTTGTCTCAGGCCTCTAATTAGGAGACAGAAATGGGTAAATAAGGCTTCAGTTACTCTCATCACTCTACCTTGCTTGAAAGATATGAAATTTCAAGGTAGTTTAATAATCACAATCTCATTTTTTGACTTTTAAAGGGAAGGTAACTTATATTACTGATAATGCCATAAACATTTCTATCTTCATTCCTGTAATCCTGTTTTTTATTTCCAACTAATTCTGAAAGAGACAATTAATGAATTCACTAATTGTTTAAATCTACTGACTTCCTAAATTTTATGAATAGATTCATTTGGAAGAATATCACTTAAAAAAATCTAAATTCTGACGGCAATTCTATGCCCTTGGAAAGTGTAATTTATTTGAATATTGATGATTTAATTTTGAAATTATTATAATAAAAATACTCTATTAATGTTTATATGGCATTATCCTTCAGAAGGATAAAGAACATTTAATTTAAAATAGTTTCTTTATGTTGAAAATGGAAAAATTAAAAACAAAGAGACTTACTGGCATCTATAGATACGTTCATAATAAGGAGGTAATAAAGGAATGAAAGAAATGCCAGCTATCATTATTTTTCTTAAACCATTGTTCAAGTGCTGATTCTGGGAGCAACCAGATAAAGTAGTGTGTATGAGCAGTGATGTCGATTTGAACAATATTTTTTTTTTTTTAGGTATACTTTGGTTGCTCTAGAGAATCAACTTTTATTACTATTTGGGTATTTGCAGCATGATTTGGTGAGAACGGCATTGGAATTGGGTGTGAAATATTTTAATTTAAATTATGGTTTTCCCATTAAGTAGGTAAGATTAATGTGAAAGCCATCTTCCTCATCTATAAAATAAAGGTGTTCGGTTAAGGTGATGTGGCAAGTTCTTCCATGAAATGAAAAATATAAAAATACTTACACAGTATAATTTTATGATATATTCAAACGATAATGACAGAAGATCATAGGAAACACTAATAAATGATGTGTATTTAGCCATGTACTATAAAATAGATTACTTCCAAAAGAACTTGTTTATTACAGAAGAATATTTAATTCTTTCAGACCCATCTCAAATACTATTAATAAAGCTTTTCCTGGCAGCAAGCATAAAAATTATTTCTCTGTGCTACAA